ACAGGTTGCTATGACATGCACTGACCACCAGGGGGCAGACAGTCAACTGGTCAACCAGTCGCTATGACATGCACTGACCACCAGGGGGCAGATGCTCTGACCGGTAGGTTAGCTAGCTCTTGGGGTCCAGTCAATCGGGACTGAGCATGACGGGTTGGACACACCTTGGAGCCATCCTGCAGTCCCTCCCTGGCTAGCCAACCTCTCCAGCCCTGATTTTGCAGCACTGGGGTCTCTCGGCCTGGCCTGCGCCCTGTCGCAATCCAGGACCCCTGGGGAGGTGTTGCAGAGCCGGTTTTGGCCCGATCCCTCAGGCCAGGCTGAGGGACCCCACTGGTGCACAAATTCGTGCACCGGGCCTCTAGTATGATATAACCAACTGCTCTTAGACTACAAGCTTGTACTGTGTGTTACTGTATAAAAGATATGAGATTAAATCAAGCACAAGAGAACATGATGCAATTAAGAGACTACATAAACAAAATATGTATGAGGCTGCTTCCAGCATAACATGGCATTACCGTTTTACAACATTTTTTAAAAAATATATTTTATTGATTTTTTTTTTTTACAGAGAGGAGGGGAGAGGGATAGAGAGTTAGAAACATTGATGAGAGGGAAACATTGATCAGCTGCCTCCTGCACACCCCCTACTGGGATGCCCACAAGGGATATGCCCACAACCAAGGTACCTACCCTTGACTGGAATCGAACCCAGGACCCCTTAGTCCGCAGGCCGACACTCTATCCACTGAGCCAAACCAGCCAAGGCACAACGTTTTTTTAAATAATTAGAGTACACTCTGAAATAATGATAGAAAGTATAGTATAGTAAATACATAAACAATAACATAGTTGTTATTATTATCAAGTAGTATGTACTGTATATAATGTACGTGCCATACTTTTGTACAATAATGATAGAAAGTATAGTATAGTAAATACATAAACAATAACATAGTTGTTATTATTATCAAGTAGTATGTACTGTATATAATGTATGTGCCATACTTTTGTACAACTGGCAGCGCAGTAAGTTTGTTTACACCAGCATCACCACAAACATGTGAATAATATGTTGCACAATAACATTATGTCTGCAACATTGCTAGGTGATATAAAATTTTCAGCTCCCTTTCAATCTTATGGAGCCACTGTCATTTATGCAGTTTGTCATTGACTGAAATGTCTTTATATGGCACATGACTATATCTGGCTTATTTAGGTTGTTAGGGTGAGAGAAATTATCTCATTCAATTGTCTATGAACAAAGTGGAAGTAGAACTTCTAAGTGTCTCCTTTTATATTTGTTTTTCAGATTAATATATTTTGGTGGCTATGGGTGTAGGAGACACAATGAACTCCAAGACTGTTTTGATGTTCATGATGCATCTTGGGTAAGAGAGTAATCACCATTTACATTTTCCTCTAATTTAGTGTTTGTTATCTTAAAGTTTTTAGAAATAATGAGCCCACTCTTTCTCATTTTCATTTTATATAATTGACTATGAAAAAAAAAGTGTTCTCTTTTGAATTTGGATTCAATTAGAGGAAGTTCTCCCACCTTCATGGCTACTGAAAGAGTAATTTCTTTTCTTACATAGTTAATCACTTATACCTATTGAAACACAAGTAGAGGCTTCTGTTAGACAAGTAGAGGTTTTAGCGCAACTGAGAAAAACTTGCCCATAGGTAACCAGAATGGCTATTGCTGACATATACCTGCTTTTAGATATGTGTACTAGAACTAGTTATAACTCTTATTCAGGAGTGAGTGAGTAGTGATATCCATTTCCTAGTTAATCTTACTGGTTAGAGAATAAACTATAATTAATAAAAGTAGTCCTAATGTATAAAAATGAAATATTTTAAAAGATAACTTAAAAAAATTGATCCACCAAGATACACAGTAACTCTTCAGTTTTACCTTTTACTAGCATACATTATTATTGTACATTATTAATGTATATGAACATTTTGTGTATATCTCTTTGTGGGTATTTTTAAAATTTTCCATGTCTTTACATTTTTTTAGCTTTTAATATGAAATATGTTTAAAGCTTTGCTACTTATAGTATTATTGATAATTTTCAGAAATAAAACTTCCCATTGTTTAGATCTATTTTTACTCATCAGTGAAATCTCTCATTTTTTTTCTCTCTTAGTACAGTTAGGCTAATGATCATGTTCTGAAATTTTTGGTGTATAGTGGATTTTTTTGGTTTAGATTTTAAACTAAGTAAAATTTTTAGTTTGACAAGTCCTGACAACAATGATGTGTTTCTCACATACAGATAAATCTGGTATAGAGATAAGCTGCAATAGAGGATTTTAACAATCTGGAAGATTCTAAATACAATATAACTGCTAAATCTTTGCTTTGATGATATTTTTGTCTCTTAGAAGACAAAGAAGAAAGTGAGCAAATTTTACCTATAAGAGAAAATTGCTTGGTTAAGTAGAGTGATTGTAACTTTTTTGAAAAAGGATTCATAGTCCCCTGAACTTTCTAATAGCAAAGATTAGGGATTCTAAGCATGTACTTTAGAAAAACAGATTTTAAAATATAAATATCCTCTGTAATGTTATTTTTATTTTTTAAGATTTTTATTTTTAAGATTTTTTTTAGAGAGAGAGAAAGGAAGAGGGAGAGAGAGAAATATCAATGATAAGAGAGAATCATTGATTGGCTGCTTCCTGCATGCCCCTTACCGGGGATTGAGCCTGCAACCCAGGAATGTGCCCTGATCAGGAAGCAAACTAGCAATCTTTATGTACATGGGATGATGCCCAACCAACTGAGCCACAGCAACCAGGGCTGTCCTCTGCAATTTTAAAAGAGACAATCCTTTGAGGGAATTGGAAAATTGTTAACAAGTAAATTATGACATCCTGCAAGCGATACTATGAGAAGAGAAGTTGCTGAGTGATACTGCTCTGGTCTGGGGACCACACTTTGTGAGCCACTGCTGTATGCATTAGCTTTATGACTATGGTAACAGCTGTATTTTTGTAAAAGTGTCTATTATTTAACCCGTAAATATTCAATAAAACTATAACAATAATCTAAAAGTTATAAAATCTTTTAAATATTAAAAAAAATTTGTTTTAGGAAGAGCAGATATTCTGGGGATGGCATAATGATGTTCATGTATTTGACACAAAGACACAGAATTGGTTTCAACCAGAAATTAAAGTAAGTAATATAAAATGTTATTTTTATATTTATTGGTACATTTAAAATACATTTTTATTAAGTTATTTGGATTTTAATAATTGAGTTTGTAATCACATACACAGGGTTTCTCTTGAGTACTGTCACTAATACTATTAATTTTTTATCGCATATTTTTTTCCGGATTAGTTAAGGGTTTTCTAGAAAAATCTTGTAAAGAGGTGCAATCATTATTGTTTACCTACAAGTGTGATGCCCTGATTTAAGGAAGGTTATTTTAAAAATTCCTTTTGTAAACCAAGTTTAGGATTTGTAAAAACCCATGTTTTCTAAACCCTTGAAATCAGGGCTATATGCAATTGTAGCATGGCAAAAATACATTATTAATATTCTTTCATATACTTGTAAGCAAACAGAAATCCAATTCGTTTAAGCAGCAGTGAATTCTCACAGCTGGGAAGTATATTATGGAGGAGCTCACACAGTGGAAGAAAGCTGTGGGGATCAGGAACTGGAGCAAGTTACTCAACACTAACACTTTCCATCTCTCTTTGTCTGCTCCTCCCCATTTCTCGTTGTATGCTAGCTTTATTCTGTTTACTGCAGACTGAATGGCTCATTTAGGAGGGATTATGGCCCTGGGCACACAAGCAGTTCTTCCTATTGGTGCTAGAAAGGACTGTGCTTTATTCTGTTTACTGCAGACTGAATGGCTCATTTAGGAGGGATTATGGCCCTGGGCACACAAGCAGTTCTTCCTATTGGTGCTAGAAAAGGACTGTTAGTTCTAGAAAAGGACTATGGCTTTATGTGGGCATGTTCCCACTCTTCACATCAGTCCCTGTTGCCAAGGGGATGATTGGCCAGGCCTACCCTTGGGGGAGCAGGGTATTGTGACTGATAAACTCACCAGAACTATGCAGAATGGAATGCTGAACAGCCACAACTAAAATTGTTCGCTGTATGCATCCATCCATGACTGATATTCCTTGGAGTCCAACTTCTGCTGATGTAAGTGATCAGAGGTTCAATGAAAAATAGCAAGTGTTATAAGAAGTGTTAACACCCTTCTCTGCATCCCAATTTTCCACGCAGTGCATTTCAGGTTTCCAGGGCTCTTCTGTTCTTCTCACCCCATTTCTAACTTTAGAACTGATTAACTGTCAGTCATTTATACTTGTTGATTGGCTTTTCCTTTAGTTGGCATTTGAATTTTAAGATTTGTGTCTTTTATTAATTAATTAGAAGCATTTTATTGCTGTTAAAAAATTTCATGTCAGCAAACAGGTGAAGAGAAATATTCCTTAGAGAATAAGCAAGGGGCTGGAACTGGTGAAGATATATTTTTAGAATGTGTTCCTGTGAATGAGGTAGCTGAGGTAGCTTATAATCAGTTCATTGGACTCTTTCCCTGACTCCTCTCTCACCTTAATTCATATCCCTCCCCTCTTCCTGCTCCAGCAGAAGCACATGACTTTAGCACATGATGTGATTTTAGTCAGTACTTAATATTTTCACTGTAATTTTCCTGATGATGTCTTCAAACAAATTTCTATATTATTTATATTATACCTGAAAGTTTTCCAACATGGTTAAAGCTGGAATCTGTTTTCTTTATTTTTTTTACAGACATTCTTAAATTAATTTATTATTCCCAAGTATCTGCACCAAAAAGCCAAGCAACATGGTAGAGGGTATCAATTATTGCTGTTGAAGTTGAAAAAACTAAATTTGCATTTTTTGGGTATTTTTTTCTCTTTATTTTATTTTAGTCTTTTCCATCACCATTTATCCCCTCTATGCCCTCCTCCACCTCCACCCACCCCCTACCTGAGTTTGCATTCTAATTGTGTCATGAAAGACCTGTGTGCTTTAGACAAGCCATTTAGTGTGTCATCTGTAAAATGGAAAGTTGGAAGTGTTTTCCTTCATGGGGTTTTTACCTCTGTGAGAGCAATATACTAGTAACAGGGATCTTTGAGTTATTTTCAGTATTTCAAACAACCTAATAAACATTGTGCATTACTTATGCAGTTAGGCACACACATTAATACAAATGTTATTTCTTTGTTTTTGTTTGAAATTGTGTGAACTCAGTTTATTCAGAAGCTTTGGTTTGCTGCTAAATGTATTTTATAAGTTAAAAGGAGAAATTCAATATTTATTTCATAATAAATCCTATCTAATAAGAGTAATATGCAAATTAATCATCACTCTGACACAAAGATGGCAGTGCCCATAGCCACAAGATGGTGGTGTCCAGTCCTCTCAGCCCCATTGGAGTCCTCCAGTCCTGGGGGACGGCCGCTGAGAGCAGGGCCTGCTTGGCCATCGCCCGTGGTGACCCAGGAGCGGCCAAGCAGGCCCCCCAGATTGCGCACAGCAGGGCCTGCTTAGCCGTCGCCCGCACCGACCTGGGAGTGGCCAAGCGGGCGCCGCAGACCACACACAGCAGGGCCTGCTTGGCCGTTGCCTGCGGCGACCTGAGAGTGGCCAAGCGGGCCCTGCAGACAGCAGAGAACCATGGGGAGCGGGCCTAAGCTGTCAGTAGATCATCCCCTGAGGGCTCCCGGATTGGAGAGGGTGCAGGTCGGGCTGAGGGATCCCCCCTGCCCCCTGTGCACGAATTTCATTCACTGGGCCTCTAGTATATTTATAGTAGAAGAATTATTCCAAATTTCAGATAAGAGATGGGCTAATAATGACAATATTGTTTTGCTGGAAAGACTGGGAACCACAGCTCAAATGGTTCTCTCTCATTTATGTAAGTATTCTATAGGTACTATCTGAATTATTTCTTACCATGTTGACTTCAGCACAGTTACTAAATAAACCTGAGAAGTCTAGGGAGTTATGATATTGGATGTAGAGCTTAAGTTTCCTATGCTCACATTTGGTAGCCAATGAGCTGATAATGTAGGGTTCTTTCAGAACTTGGAATGAAATACATACACAAAGACACCCACCAGGAACACATGAAAATTATGCATAAAATTTTTCCTTCAAATCTTATTCATCTACTCATTACACTCTCCCTTTTCCCACCAATCCAAAACTTCTCTGAAGTAAATATCTAATATATTTGTTCAAAGAAAAGTATAGAGAAGTATTACCAGTTATTGTGAAGAGTTTTAGTAAGAGATAAAGTACTATTAGTATAAGCCAAAAAATGAAATTTTTATTGTGGCATTTGAAGCACCAAGAGTTCTGGGGGACAGATTTAATTTTTTAGAGTCTCTGGGATCATCACACTGTGCATTGCTCACTTAATAATATTAACTTTGTGTGTGTATGTGTGTGTGCATGTGTGTGTGAGAAGGGGGAGTGGAAGGAAGAGGGGAGAAAGAGAATCTTTTAAAATGTCATTTTAAAATCCTTATTTTTAAGCTAAAACTTACACAAAATATTATTTTTGCTAAATAGTCTCAGGCATTTAAGGAAAATGCCTTAAAAAGTAAAGATCTGTGTGAATAAATTTCATTCTCTTTTTAAAAAAATCCTCACCCAAGAATATTTTTCCATTGATTTTTTTAGAGAGAGACTGAAAGACAGAGAGAAATATTGATGTGAGAGAAACACATTGATTGGTTGCCTCCTGCACAAGCCCTGACCAGGGCCCATGTCAGGGAGGAGCCTGCTACCGAGGTATGTGCCCTTGACTAGAATTGAACCTAGGACCCTTTGGTCCACAGGCCGACACTCTAGTCACTGAGCCAAACTGGCTAGGGCAAATAAATTTCGTTCTTGAAGAGTATAGTCATACCTCACAGGTATTACAGATTTCAGACCACTGTAATAAAGTGAATATTGTGATAAAGTGAGTCACACAAATGTTTTGGTTTCCCAGAGCATCTAAAATTATAGTTACACTATACTGCAGTATATTAAGTGTGCAATAATATTATATCTAAAATACTTTATATCTAAAAAATACCTTAACTAAAAAATACTTTATTGCTAAAAAATGCTAACCTCATGTGAGCCTCCAGCAAGTTTTAATCTTTTTACTGGTAGAGGGTCTTGCCTGGATGTTGATGGCTACTGACAGATCAGGACTGATCAGGTGGTGGTTGCTGAAGGTTAGGTGGCTGTGGTAATTTCTTACAACAAGACAACAGTGAATTTTGCCACATCAATTGACTCATCCTTTCATGAATGATTTCTCTGTAGCATGCAGTGCTGTTTGATAGCATTTTACCCAGAGGAGAACTTATTTTAAAATTGGAGCCAATCCTTTTAAACCCTGCTGCTTTATCAGCTGAGTTTATGTAACATTCTAAATGCTTCGTTGTCATTTCAGCAGTCTTCATAGTATGTTAACCAGGAGTAGATTCCATCTCAAGAAACCACTTTGCTCATCCATAAGAAGCATCTGCTCATCTGTTAAAGTTTTATCATGAGATTGCAGCAGTTCAGTCACATCTTCAGGCTCCACTTCTAATTCTAGTTCCCTTGCTGTTTCACCACATCTGCAATTACTTCCTCCACTGAAGTCTTGAACCCCTCAAAGTCATCCATGAGGGCTGGAATCAAATTCCTCCAAGCTCTTGTTAATGTTGATGTTTTAACCTCTTCTCATTAATTAAAAATGTTCTTAATGGCATCTAGAATGGGGAATCCTTTCCAGAAGGTTTTCAATTTACTTTGCCCAGATTCATCAGAGGAATCACAATATGGCAGCTATAGGTGTATGAAATGTATTTCTTAAATAATTATTCCTTCATGGGCTGCAGAAAGGATGCTGTGTTAGCAGGCATGAAAACAACCTTAATTTCACTGTACATCTCCATCAGAGCTCTTGGGTTACCAGTTGCACTTTCAATGAGCAGTAATATTTTGAAAGGAATCTTTTTTTTTTTTAATGCCACATGAGCTCCTGGCAGCCTAGAGTCAGGAGTAGCTTCCTTTGATTTTTTTAAAAATATGTTTTTATTGATTTCAGAGAGAGGAAGAGAGAGGGAGAGAGGAATAGAAATATCAGTGATGACAGAGAATCAGCCTCCTGCACGCCCCCTACTGGGAATGGAGCCTACAAGCAGACATGTGCCCTCATGGGTATTGAACCGTGACCTCATGGGTATTGAACCGTGACCTCCTGGTTCATGGGTTGGCACCCAACCACTGAGTCACACGGGCAGGAATCTTTTTTTCTGAGCAGTAGGTCTCAGCAGTAAAATTGGGCTTAAAATAGTCAGTAAACAATATTGTAAACAGATGTGCTGTCATCCAGGCTTTGTTGTTCCATTTATAGAGCACAGGCAGAGTAGATTTAGCATAATTCTTAAGGTTCTTAGGATTTTCAGATAGTCAACAAGTATTGATTACAATTTAAAGTCACCAGCTGCATTTAGCCTGTCCTTCAAAGCTTTGCAGCCAGGCACTGACTTTTCTCTAGCTAGGAAAGTCCTAGATGGCATCTCCTTCTGATATAAAACTGTTTTGTCTACATTGAAAATCTATTGTTTAGAATAGCCGCCTTCATTAAATATCTTAGCTAGATTTTCTGGATAACTTGCTGCAACTTCTACATCAGCATTTACTGCTACACCTTGCACTTTATGTTTTGGAGATGGCTTTTTCCCCCTTAAGCCTCACAAATCAACCACCGCCAGCCTTAAATTTTTCTTCTGCAACTTCCTCACTTCTTTCAGCTTTCAAAGAATTGAAGAGAGTTAGGGCCTTGCTCTGTATCAGGCTTTGGCTTACGGGATGTTTGGTCTGCTTTGATCCTGTCTCTAGATCACTAAAACTTCCTGAATATCAGCAATAAGAACGTCTCACTTTTTTTTATCATTGATGTGTTTACTGGAGTAGCTCTTTCAATTTCCTTCAAGAACTTTTCATTTTCTTTTCTTTTTTAAAATATTTTTTTATTGGTATCAGGGAGAAGGGAGAGGGAGAGAGAGATAGATACATCAGTGATGAGAGCGAATCATTGATCGGCTGCCTCTTGTATACCCCCTACTGGGGGTTGAGCCCTCAACCCAGACATGTGCTCTGACCTGAAATCAAACCATGACCACCTGGTTCATAGGTCAATGCTCAACCACTGAGCCACACCAGCCGAGCTTACATTTTCTTAACCAATTCAAAATATACTTTCTAATCATATTATAAGTATTACAAAGGGTATTACATATGTGTAGGACAAGAACTTTTCATTTTCATTCACATCTTGGCTAACTGGTACAAGAAGCCTAGCTTTCAGCTTCTCTCAGCTTTCGATCCATCTCCGCTTTTGACATGCCTTATTCACTAAGCTGAATCATTTGTAGCTTTTGATTTAAAGTGAGAGGCATGTGACACTTGCTTTCACTTGAACACTTAGAGGCCATTCTAGGGTTCCTAATTGGCCTAATTTCAATATTGTTGTGTCTTAGGGAATAGAAAGGCCTGAGGAGAGGGACAAAGATGGGTAATGGCCAGTCAGAGCAACAGTCAGAACACACACAATATTTATCTGTTAAGTTTGCTGTCTTACATGGGTGCTTTTCTTGGCACCTCCAAAACAATTACAACAGTAACATCAAAGATCACTGATCACAGGTCACCATAACAAATCCTATCTAATAATAGACAAACATGGTAATTGACCGTACCTTCACTACGCCTCCCATGGGCTAATCAGCGTGATATGCAAATTAACCGCCAACAAAGATGGT